GCTCCATCCCAGGACACTGGGATCACGACCTGAGCCGAAGGCAGAGGCTTTAACCCACTGAGCCACCCAGGCACCCCTCAAACCTGAACAAATTTCTAATCACCCCAGCGATGAAAGATGAGAGATGCTAATGAGTTTTTTCTTCTAAGAGAGTTTAAAATTTGTTATTAGTAGGGAAATCACTTTTAATATCTAAAGTATTACTCAGTAATACTCATACGTCCTGAGAAGAACAGGTTTCACAGACTCTTAGAGGAAAAGAGAAGTTTGGCTGCATATTCTTATTTCCATAGTGGTTTGACCAAGTATGAATTAGTTTTTCTTCCATAGCAAGAAGTGCAGAGCTAGACAACCTGAAGCTGCATTTCTGCATCAGCACCAATGCCCTGGGCTCTTTCAGATTTCAGCTCACAATTGTCTCATGGTCATAACATGGCTGCTGCTCCTTCAGGCTCTCATCTGCATTCTAAAAGGAATCAAGAAACAGAGTGACCAAAAAAATGCACATCAAGGAGGCAAAGCTTACATCAGGGAAGCAAAACTTTTCTAGAAATCGCAGCCAACTTCCTACTTCACTAACAAATTTTTCTTGTTTTCTTTCCTCTTTTTTTTGGGATGTCACATGGCTATGTCTAGCCACAAAGAAGACTGAGAAATTGAATTTCTTCTTTTTTTAATCCTGATATATTGCTACCTACAGCAAAGCAAATGTCCTCCTGTTAGAAAGGAAGGAAGAAGAATGGGTATTGTGTAGGCACCAACATTGTCCGCTGCCATACTTAAGAGATCATTTAATGCGTTTCCCCCTCTCTTCTCTCCAGCCTTCATTATTTTATGTTGAGAAAACGAGATCAGGTGACTTACTCAGCATTATAGAGCCAGCTCATGGCAAAGCTGGAACTGAATTCACACATACAACTCTTAACGCAGTGAGCTCTTTCCAGTGTATGCCACCATTCTCCTATTTCATAACCGTGTGCAGAGCCCACCCAGCAATACTGATGACACTTTTCTTCTCCTTACTCCCCCAACTCTATCTGCCAGTCTCCAGACTCAGGTCTGTATTTAGCCAGATGCTGTGTTTCTTTCAGCCTTAAGAGTAACATTGTTTGGCTGCAGCTGGAAAATGAGTAACATCCACTTCCGCGGGCTGCCTTGGTTTTCCAAAGTAGCCAGGAGTTTAACTTAAAGGGTTAAGATTTATGAACTGCAAACAAAGATTAACTGCGAAGGAGAATTTCAAAAGAAAACACAGAATACAATAGAATATTCTTTGACCTAAACTATAGAAAGGAGGTAGGGCTAAATTTCTTTAACCTTGAAATCTGCTCTCCCTCTCCTACCCTCAGCTGTGTCTATCCTTTGCAGTATCACTTCGATTCCTGTCCTATCTTAGAATGTGCTAGAGTCATGGCTGTTCAGTTAGAACAAACGAGTCTGACCTACCAAGAGTCACAGAACAGCAGCCCACGGGAAGTCCATCTGAGGTAGAAAGAGTAGCGCACCAAGTAACAGTTCAGACACAGACAGGCCACAGTTCCACGGAGCAGGCGTGGTCACCCAGTGTGACTCCCAGGCTGCTTTCCTGTGCTCTTTGCATTATGTTTATGCTATTATCATGGGCTCACATGTGGGATCCCTGGTATTCAGAAAGTACAAACAGTGGACATTGGAGAAGATTGTCATGCTCTGTTTCCAACCATTTGTTTCAGGAACTTTGAAGTCGGATCAGAACAAGCTTCTGTATTCTTACAGTAATTTTTTTCTAAGCTGCAGCTAAGAAGATCCTGTTAGAACAAATGAGATGTAGGTTTCAGCACAAGATTAAGAAGGCCCTTCTGACGATGAACTGGACGATGCCACTTGAGGTTGGGGACTTGGTGTTTTCAGCAAGAACTTTGCACTTGCTAGGTATTAACACTTGTCCATTTTGAAGCTGTATTCAAAAATGCTTAGGACCATGTTATGAATTAATTGTTCTTCCTCTGAGTATGAGTCTGTAGTAGATAAGCGTGGAGGTACCATCTCAAGAAAGGTCCCATGATTTGACCTTTATAATGTAGATTTTCAACACATGAGTTTTTTAAAAAATGACCTTTTTTTCCCCTTTTCTTTCTTTTTTTTTTTAACTTGGGATGTCAGATAAATCCTTTTCTGGCCTTATCTTGTGGGCTTTGACCAGCAATTTCTTCTTACAACTCTCATTCCCTGATTTTTCTCATTATTCCGTTCAGATGTTGTTACCTCAGAAAAGCTCCTGTGACTAACCTACCCAAAACAGCCCCCACCCACTCACTGGTGACCGAATTGGGTCCCCCACGGGACATGCCCTCAGTGCATGTAACAGCACATTTTTCTCACTGATTGGTACAAGTCAGTCACATGTGGGGCTTCAACAGGGAATAGCTAGGACTCTGTCAGCTGAGGTCTGGACTCTCTGATGCCCTCCCGGCGAATATTAGGATATGCCCTTGCACACACACGCACACACACACACACGCCAGAGAGACCCCAAACAAGCAACAGTTTTCCAAAGGCTTATCTAAATCCAGAGTTTTAGAAATGTTTCAACATTACTTGCATGTGTGAATGAATCTATCATCATTATCTGTCTGTATCTATATATGTCAATTTATATATGCTAAAATCTATCTTTTTATTCATACACTGAGCACAGCTAAAGTGCTTGACTGTAGGTGATTTGGTGCCCTGTTCATGGTGTGTTTCATACAACATATGTTGTTCTGTTATGAAGCATTTTAGGTTTTGTTTTGTTTTTTTCTTTATCATGGGTCTTGGAAATCTCTCCATGTTAGATCTATCCTTAGACATTACATGAGGGTTTCTGTAGAGTAGACTCTGACAAGTCTGACTTCAGGGCTATAGAGTCTGTGAGTTTTTTATTTGAATATAACCTCCCCTCCAAAAGTAGCTGGGCTCATTTGCAATCCCATCACTAGTGTATAATGCTATTTCTCATTGCCCTTCCTCATGTCTGATATAAACACTTTTTGCAATCTCATAGATGCTTAATGTCATTTTTTCTAGTCCTAAAAAAGGTCCAGGCTGCACCAAAAATAAATATGTAGAAAGCTATCTCACACACACACACACACTCATAGATGTTTATTCAGAATAAAACTCCTCACATTATTAACTTTGTGTTATTTTTTTTTAAGATTTTATTTATTTATTTGACAGACAGAGATCACAAGTAGGCAGAGAGGCAGGCAGAGAGAGAGAGGAAGGGAAGCAGGCTCCCTGCTGAGCAGAGAGCCCGATGCGGGGCTCGATCCCAGGACCCTGAGATCATGACCTGAGCCGAAGGCAGAGGCTTTAACCCACTGAGCCACCCAGGCGCCCCAACTTTGTGTTATTTTAATTGCTCTTTTATAATGAACACTTTAATACAAATCACATTCCTGATCTTTCACCAGTATTCTAAACCCCAGCTTCAGTTGTGAATTTAAAAATGGAAGTATGTATTCTGAATCAAGATTTCTTGAAGTCTGTACATCATCCCCATTCCTTTTGTTCCTTAATATCCTGGATCTTCTCATACAAGATGTGGACATCTGAGTCGGGTGTGAGGATATGTGAGAGGGTGAGGGAAGGTGACTAGAAACTGCTCACTGGAGACAGAGTGACAGAGCAAAGAAGAGGTCTCTCTATTAATTTGAATTTATGATATGAAGTGGGAAACAATTACATCTAACCTTTTATGCGTCCAATAAATATTTGCCTACTCTATGGGAAGGACGGGGTATACGTGTGTGTGGAATAATTATTTGCTCTCATGGCGTGTTCGGTCTAGTGGGCAAGACACAAATAACAAATTATCACCAAACGGTGAAAGGTATGAAGGAAACAACCAGGGATGACATGGATGACAGTGGGGATACAGAATCGTTCCAGAGTCTCAAGAAGGCCTTGCTGAGACCTCAAACGCAAAAAGATGCTCTCCAGGACAAATTAGAAGGAGAGCATTCCCAGCAGAGATAATAGCGTTTTTACCCACCCTAAAGTGTGATGGACTGAGAGAAGCCGGTGAGAAGGGAGATGGTGGAATGAGGCGAGGTCAGATGGAGGGACACAGGTCAGGTACAGGAGTCAATACCTTGTAAGAAGAAGCTAGAAGATCACTTTGTAGTGTGCACCTGTTGAATTGTCGTGTTTTACAGCTGAAACTTGTATAATGTTATGTACCAATTTTACCTCCATAAAAAGAGAGCACATGTATGTGTGCATGAGAGAGAGAGAGAGAGAGGAGGGAGGGGAAGGAGAGGGGAAGAGGGAGGGATGGCAGGGAGGGAGGAAGGGAGGAAGGAAGGAAAAACTAAATGAAAATGAGTGTGCTCTGACCTGCTTGAGTAGAGGAGAAAGGAAGAGAGATTCCAGAGAGCTAAACTGCTGTTCTCCACTGCGCGTGTCAGACTAGAGAAAACATTGCTTAGTACTGAACATGCGTCTATAATATTCACTGCAGTGAGATGGTACCTACTTTTATAAACATGTGAACATGTTTTGAATAAAATATATGTATTTAATTCCATGTCTGTAGTAAATGTGCTTTGAAGTGAAATTCATCTGTTAACATTCTCCTCAAATATTTCCCATTTTTTTTTCACACTGATGGTTTTTTCACTTGATATCTTATCTTACAGTCTGTTTTTAATGAGTCAACAACACACAGGTGTATTTTTTAAGGTAAAACTTGCATCCATTTCTTTAAAAAATGGCAGAGCAATAATATCAGTGGCAGTATTAATGCAGTAATGAATATCAATGCCAAAATAAAGGTTAAATTGTCATTAGAATTTATATTCATCGCTCAATGCAAGTAGTTACTTCCAGCACAAACAACTGTTGATAAGTCAAAACCACAAGAAGGGTAAAAGTTATTTGCAAAAGTTATTTGGCACAAAAAATAATCTTGTTTTTTTAGATTTTATTACTATAGGTCAGGCTCATTACAGCTAATTTTTACTATTTTAATGCAGGATTGTGGTTTGCTGATTCACCCAGAGGAAACCTGTGGGTTACAGCCTATTTCCTCTGACTACATTGAAGCCATTTCACAGCCCGAACTAAAGATCTGTCCATCTGGCGACACAACAGGTGACTATTACTCTGGATATCACTTCTTCTCAAAAATCCTCTAATACAGAGACATATCTACTTAGTCAAACTATCCTTATACAAAGAAAAAATCAAGGTACTGCATGACTTTTTCATTGGTGTGAACGGTAACACATCTAATTAATCTGAATGCGTTGCTTTAGTATGTGAACTATTTTGATGCACCAGAATCTTCTTTTCTTCACCCTCTGCTCTTTGCCTGGTTAATCCGTATTCATGTACAGATATCGACCAAAGAGTCACTTGTACCAGAAAGCCTTTCTTGAGCCCCTGCTTTATTTCTTTATTGTATATTTTCATAGCACCCTGTGCCTTTCTTCCATGACCATTGCCACAATCATTTAAATGTTAAGTATGTAAATAATTCTTCGAGGTCAGTTTTCCCAGATTGCCAGCTGTCTGAGGACAAGGAGTCTGACTTGTTCACACTCTGTCAATTCACTTAGCACCATAATTTCTGCAGAGAAGGGACAAAGTAAATATCTGCTGGCTATTTTGGGAACCAAAGAACTGCTTAAGGGAACAAGTGTAGGTTTAAATCATTTATTAAAAAAATCATTGAGAATGAGTCTCCCATATACTGTGCATTAATTAACAGAGGCAGGAAAATCATTATGTCAAATCGAAATTACAGTGTTGAACCCTGCCTAATTCTAGAGCAGACCGGGAATGAGACACTTTGGTGCCACTGCCCACATTCCCTGTTTCTCTCCTTCCCCAGTGTTCTTCTTTCGGTGGAGACTACTGGGGTTCAGCGAAAGCTGGGACTAAAATTACCTCCAAAGGGATAAGGGGAGCAGGGGGGCGTCTTCTCTGAGATTCCTGGTTGTCCCTCTGGCCTCTTGACCCCAAGCCTCCCTTCATCTAAAGAGTCTGAGAAAACACTCAGGAACTTTTCTACCCTTGCCATGAACTTCACACCACAACTTGAATGGGAAATGAGTTTCACAAATGGGCAGTACAAATTGCAATTTGCCATGCACAGTTAACAAACGTGGGCATATCCCCGTTCTTGAACATGTGTTCTAAATAATGAATTACAGCCGGCGCACAGGGAGGGATTTACCCATCATGGCATGTCAGGTGGTGTAGGTTACGACTCAACTAAATGAGATATAGGCTCTTACATACAAAGGAGACACCAATGTGTCTAGTTAAGGATTTTTTTTATCAGATGACATTTTATGAGAATCATAAAACAACTTAATTCCATTCCTCCTGCTGAACCAAGTCAAAAGTTCTCCAACAAAAGTCAGAGAGTACTGAGTTTCCTCAAGAAGTGGCACCTTTTTCTATTTATTAAATTTGCTGTAACTTATGTGCCAGGCCCCGTCACAAAGCTGCCTCTGTGCCTGGTTCTTTTTTCTTTTTTTAAAAGATTTTTAAATTTATTTATTTGACAGACAGAGATCACAAGTAGGCAGAGAGGCAGGCAGAGAGAGAGAGGAGGAGGCAGGCTCCCCACTGAGCAGAGAGCCCAATGCAGGGCTCCATCCCAGGACCCCAGGATCACAACCTGATCCAAAGGCAGAGGCTTTAACCCACTGAGCCACCCAGGTGCCCTCTGTGCCTGGTTCTTAACAGGAGGGACTGCCTTCCAGCAGGCAACTTCTGGTACCTTGAATAGCTAGGCTTCTTCACAGAAGACCCCAAAATTGACTCCCCAGGCAAGTCCATGTCCTTAGCCTGACAGTACTGGGCCTCTAAATCTGGCCCTCCCTGTCTCCCAGGTCCTCCCAGCTTCTTGGTTTCACTTCATGCCCACAATACACCTGCATGATTCCACACTCTGATCCGTGCTGTCCCCTGAGGCTCAAAGTCTTCTTCCCATCCCAGCCCCGTTGTCCTGATGCTGTATTTTCCTCTCTAGGAAGCCTCTCCTTACCACCCCACCCCCAGACTGGCTTCTCTGCTGTGCTCCCAGAACACTTTGGGCACATATTCCCCTTAGCCCTTGCTTCATTATGTTTCTCTCTCTTTCGCTAACCCACAGTCTTCAGAGTGCAGTGATCCACGGGAGCAAGGGGAGCGGGTGGCATGGGACAGTCCACGGGGTGAAGCCAGTAAAGATGGAAATATACGTGCATTTATTTATATCTAACCATCCTTATTTTTGTTTTATAATGAACTTAATACATAGATACAGGCGTATAGGTACACACATTATTACAGAGTGTGTGTATTAATATAGTCAAAGGTGCATTACTGAGACTGCCTTCGATTGCGTGTTTCTCCAGAGCAAACAATGCCCCTTTTTCATCTTTCAATGTCTAAGATATGATTTAAAAATTGTTGCTGAACTAAAACCAAGATCCAAGTCCTCCTCCTTTCCGTGGAACACTGTGAGCAGTCAGGGCACGATCAGTCAGGGCTCACTGCCCCACCCATACAGTCCTAAAGACCCAAAGATTTAAAACTAATGAGTGAGACCAGGGACAGCAGTTTGCAAGAACGGATTTTTTGCAGGCAGAGATTTCCTTCCTGGACAGCAGGACTCCATCCTGCTGTAAGCGGTTGTCATGGTGGACAGCAGTGGAAGGAAGTTGACTCAGGCTCTCCGGCTTTAGCTTGATGACCATACATTAGTTCCAAAATCTTATTTTCACAGCGCATTATAGTTACTTAGCAAACCGGATCCATTTTTTCACCTTGCCAATGAAATGATGGTCTACATGTCTTTTCAATAACAACTAGCTAATACAATTTTGAGTGCCGGGGGGGGGGGGTTAATCTTTCAGTTGATTTTTAGCCTTTAGAAAATAATTTAACTATAAGACACAACCAAGAGTAAAATCTCTTGCTTAAGAAAGAAAAAAACAGGGAGATGAGATGCAACATGGGGGGTTAAGGGGGTAGGAGAAGAGTAAATGAAACAAGATGGGATTGGGAGGGAGACAAACCATAAGTGACTCTTAATCTCACAAAACAAACTGAGGGTTGATGGGGGGAGGGGAGTTGGGGCGGTGGGGTTATGGACATTGGGGAGGGTATGTGCTATGGTGAGTGCTGTGAAATGTGTAAACCTGGCGATTCACAGACCTTTACCCCTGGGGATAAAAATATATGTTTAAAAAAAATAAAATTAATTTAAAAAAAAAGAAAGAAAAAAACAATTCTTCTAATCTGATGAAGAAATTTATACAATGATTTTTGAATGAGAATAACATTAAAGAAAATAGCTCCAAATGCATTTTATGATATGTAAACAAAAGATAGTACCATCTTTTCTTTGTAGCAAGGAAATATAACAGCTTGTACTTTAATACTTCTAAAGTTGAACATATGATGTATTTTTTCCCTTAAGTGAAAACTGCTTTATTTTATAACATAGGGTCAGGAATTAGTGCCATCTATATGATTTTACATCTCACCATGGCCCCAAGTCACAAAGGTGAATTTCTTCTCTCCATTATGTCAGCCAATCTGATTCACATAAATGGCTAAACCCTAATGTGCATTAAATATAAAGCTACAATTATAAACCAAATCACTTCTCCCAAAAGCCATTTTTATTCCTCAGAATGTCATTCCCTAAAACACATGTCATACTCTATTTCAGAAATCACAGCTTTGATTCATTCAATGTTTAAATATATAACATAGAATTTATGTCCCTGTTTTGGACAATTTTAGTTAAGAGCTGGTATCATTTAAAATATCAAGAAACTCCAGTCCTGCTGATGTTATACAGATGTCTCTTTCAAGCAGCATTACTAAATCACAATAAAAAAGGGGGGCATTTTTAACCAATACAAAAATGCAAAGAGTTATGACTATATAAATATATAGTAGTATGAACCATTGGGGCCAAGTCTTCAGAGACCCAATCAGGAGTCCTTTTGATGTGCTTGAGATTTTATGCCCACAAACTAATTGTCCCCATATTTGGATTTTTGTGCCTGCAATTGGCCTCTTGCTTCTTCAGCTTTAGAAGCAAATGGCCAAAGAAGGCCCCGGTTTGTGCAAGGTTAGAGGGGGAGAGAGTGTTTGGGGGAGAGGAAGCACGCACTCTGAAATACTCAAGGATCTGATGAAAACCAAGCCCTTGAAAATAGTACTAAATATAGTCTCATTAGCGGATACACATTTAGGTCCCTAATACGCCACCATCCTGTTAGAAAGAAAATTAACAATCTTTTTTTTTTTAACATAGTCTCTGTCAACATATGAACCCACTAAATAAATTCTGTATTTCAATATAAAGATAAATTCATTAAAATAACCTATTTGTATGTTTTCCTGTAAGTGCTACCAAAGAGATCGTTGCGCCATATTTCATTTCTGGCTGATGGTGTTGTGCTCCCTGGGCCTAACATGACAGAAGGATCAGCAAACTGGAGACTCCAAGACCTTAGTTCTGGTCCAGCGAGTCGTTAACCGCATGATCCCACTTCTGTCCTTCAATTCTTGGGTCCTCAGTTTACCTCATCTGTAAAAAAGGAGGATGGACAGGAGACCCAAAGCCCCATTCCAACTCCATTCGAGAGGATGCCCACTGACCACAAATCTTTATGAAGATGTAAAGATATTTATTCAGGAGGTGGTTATTGATTACAAATCCTATATTCCAGGGCAAAGTTAGAATTAGAAGCAAGATGAATGAACACCACAGAAAAATTACAAAGAGAATTGGATGGAGAAATAAGCATTTTGAGGACAGTCTTCATTTTGCCGTTCAGTACTCAACATCTCTCCTAAATTTTCTATGTCATTTAGGATATATACATATATAATATATATGTAATATATAATGTATGTATATAATGGACAGGGGTCATTAACTGCATTCAGTCTAGAGACTGAAGTTTTTCAAGAAGGAGAAAATAAATTTTTTTCTATGTCATGTCTTTTTTTTAATTTATTTATTTGACAGAGAGAGAGATCACAAGTAGGCAGAGAGGCAGACAGAGAGAGTGGGGGAAGCAGGCTCCCTGCTGAGCAGAGAGCCCGATGCAGGGCTCGAACCCAGGACCCTGGGATCATGACCTGAGCTGAAGGCAGAGGCTCAACCCACTGCTCCACCCAGGCACCCCTCTATGTCATGTCTTTTAGTAGCACTGCTCTTCTCTACACCTGGAAACTTCAGAAATGCCTTTTACCTAGCAGACTTCTTTTTCTCTCCTACATGGAATCTTTTGCGGAGGCCTCTTACTTCTTCAGTCCTACTGCCGTTAGGGCTACCTCCTCACTGTACCCAAAGTACCACCCATTCTATCTCTCCAAATCTGATCTATCCAGAAGACCCGACCTTCCAGACAACTCTGACCCTCACGATGCTTTCCTTATTCTGAACTGCCACAGCTTACTTAAGGTGGGGGAGAAAAATCTATCCCCTGGTTGCTAGGTATCAGGCACTATGTTAGGTGCTATATATTTTTTTTCTCCTAGAGAGAATATTAAGTAATTTTTCCAAGTTAAATAATGGTTCTCAACCGTGGCTGCAAATTAGGATCACCTGAAAAGCATTAAAAAAATCCCGGTGCCTCAGTTCCATACCAGTGGTTCTGATTTAATCAGTCCAGGATATAATTTGAGCATGGGGATTTTAAAAAGCTTTGTAGGTAACTCTAATGGGCCTCATTGAGGCCCGTGGATCTCACTGGAGGCCGAGCTCAGGCGTGTGTGTCTCCAGAGCCCACACCCTATTGGCACCACACAGATATCTTTACTCAATTATGCCTTACCTTTATTGTGTTGTAACTATTTTACTGTATAAATTGGAACCCTCTAACCTGATTATAAATTTCTTGAGGTTTAGCATTGTAAGTTAAGAGGTTTACATACGTTAATATATTAAAGTGCTCAGAATATCCCTAGCATCTGACACATGCTATGAAACGTAATTTTTTTTTTTTTTTTAGTTATTAGGTTTTAACACCAATAACACCTAACATCTAGTAGGGTAGATATTTCAATAACATAATACATTAAAATCCTCCCAGAAAGTACTATTTTATCTCCCCCAGTTCTCTCTTAATAGACCCACAGTTTTTTTTTCCTTTTCTGTGAGCCATAAACTCGATCTTCTTTCATATTGTATTATGTCTAACTATTCCACAAACACACAGTTCTGACATCCCTGAGGTCATGAAATGTTAATGCACCATATTGATCACCTGAAAGTAGGAATTCTTCTCACTAAAATTAGTGTCACACCAAATACTTTTGTTACCAGAACCACAAAGCAAAGCCAGAATGGGTAAAGTTGTTCGTTTTTTTTTTTTTCTTTCTAACTCAAAAAGCAGCTAGGAATATTTACCTCCTCGGTATTTTGAAGAGAAACAGCTAGTGGTAACATAAGCAAGATCTTGAGGGTAGGGCCTGTGATTGCTGGAGACATCAGGGTATTGTCCACAAAGGGTAAGTAACCACTCCGTATTCAGTGTACGGGTTCAAACTCCATTTCTGAAAAGATGAAGAAGGAAAAAACAAAAATTAAAAAAAAAAGTCATATCTTGAATTTTTTCTAAGAAATTATTAATATGTCAACTCACACTAAAATCGGAAATATTTGAATACATATCACTTTATCAATAAAATAGAAAAGATCTCAAATGCATTGCAAACAATTCATTTATCTCATAAACATTTACTAAAGCTTGTGACCTACTTTGTGCCTGAAGTCTGTTAGTAACAAAGGTAAATATGACATCGTAATTGTGCTAGATATATAACGTGCATTAGCCCATGAAATCCTCCCACCAGCCATGTGAGAACAGTACAGGCCTCTCTTGCTGCTAAAGAAATGAAGGCAATAGAGCTAGAACGTGCTGAAGAGATTTACACCAAAATGGTCACTGATCAAGTTAAGGAACAATACCTAGTCTTCAAAATAACAAGTTACCGGAATATTAAAGTAATTCTTTTATACCTTGACTCTCTTGAAAGCAGGGACTATATCTATTATTGGATTGCTAACCTAAGCATATGTTAGGTCAATGAGGATGTGTGGCCAACTGCCTTAATATTAGTGGCTTCCCATCTACTTTGGTCCTATTAAGTGCTAATGCATTATTTAAAAATGAGTAATAATTGAGGAGCATCCAATTGCTTGGTTTTTCGTCAAGAAGGTAGTTTCACAGAGCAGGACTCCTACTTGATTTCGGCATGGGCTGTGTTACTTCAGAACCTTTCTACATGTTGCAATTCTATCTGGTTGGCGGGGGACCATGCCTCACTCCGTGGACTTACATGGTAAAGAGTGGTGTTTTCACCACAGTGACTGAAAAAACTCGTTTCACTGGGAAAATCTGAACCAAGGCTTCGCTTTCCATTCCAGGCCAATGGATCGTGCCTTGCCTTAGCTGTTCAGACAACAGGACCTGCGACTGGAGAGAAATAACTTGGCAACCCCACGACTGCCAGTATGGTGTTCTCACTAAGCCCCAACTCCAGCAGTGCCTGGGAGGAAGGAAGGTAGGTTCTGGATCCAGTGGGGGGAAGCCTTTCATTCATGGCCCCTGTAGCACCAAGAGCCATGCCATTGTATTAACTAGACCTGTTCCTGCTCTCTTACTTGGTAGATGATATCTAACTGCATGCAGTTGGCTTTTAGAGTCATGGGTAAATGTTATCCTAGAAGGGTCTGAACGATCCTTGCTCAGAATGCTCCATTATTTCCAAGTAAGTCTACTTGACAGATGGAGGATATTAAAGTCCTGTCCCATGCTGCCCCAATTCCATGCTGGTTTTCTCAGCACACGTTGGTAAGAGCTTGCCACGTGAGCAGACAGACAACAGTCCAGGGCAGCTGGCCTCGTCAGCGGCCGCCCCAGCAGGCCCCAGGGTTGCAGCAGGACATCTGGAGTTCGCTTGCTTGAGCAATGAAATGTCCCTGCATGTCAGGCTCACTTCTGCTAGAGCTTCCTGAGTGCATGACACGCTAACCTTCCTGATCTTCTTTCACGTTCCCGGGCAGGTCTCACGTGGACCTCACTAGACTGCTTTCCCTTTAGTGAGGCCTCTAAGCTGATCTGTCGGACATGCAGTGTCTCCTTGCTAGGCGCGCTCTGAGTAGGTAGATCCCGGCCGAGCTCTTGGACGTGTGAACTGGGCACATAGACTGAGATGCCTGGTTAACATGAAGTAAGTAATTCTTATCCAGATTCTCAAAGTACTTTTTATTAGACAGACATTTCCTTATAAAGTGTTTGTAAGCACTCACATAGGGGCAAGACTGAGTTCAAAACCCTATTTTTTTTTTTTTAAATTCTGTTCATGTGTTAGGGAAAGAATGCTGGGATGAACGTATGCCAGTTTTTCAGATCAGCCTAGGTTCAGATCCTCTACTAGCAAATAATTTAAAAATAATGATGGGGGTGGGGGAGGGCGGAAGGGCAGGGCAGGAGGATGGACATTCTCCTTCATGGTGATTCCAATATAAATGCCCCAAATGTCATGAAGACGAAGCAGCCCTTAGTTACTTTTTTTTTTAAAGATTTTATTTATTTATTTGACAGAGATAACAAGTAGGCAGAGAGGCAGGCAGAGAGGGAGGAAGGGAAGCAGGCTCCCTGCTGAGCAAAGAGCCTGATGCGGGGCTTGATCCCAGGACCCTGAGATCATGACCTGAGCCGAAGGCAGAGGCTTTAACCCACTGAGCTACCCGGGCACCCCAATCCCCCTTAGTTACTTTTAAAAAGGAAAGAGAAGAACACAAACATCTGGAAATGTATGAACCATCAGTCTTATTAACTGAGAATTGATTCTGTGCAAGGAAATAAGTGTGCAGCTACATTTTTCATACCTTAAGTCTGACCAGACGGTAAGCTTCATGAGGACAAGGAACATGTTTGAATCATTAACATAATCTCACTGCTTAGCCCAACTTTTTGATATGTAATGGTTGCTTAACAAATATTTGTTGAGTAAACAGATAGGTTAAAAACTTTATTTCTAATCATAAATCTGTGAGATAGCTATTATATGTTTTCTACTTAAGAAAACTAAACCTCAGAGAGATTGAATTATTCTCTCATGATCCCACACAGATGTATGGCTACTACTCCGGCATTTTTAACCACCAACTTGGACAATCCAACATCCACATCTAAGAAATGCAGGACTGGAAACAATGAAAATAGTTGTTGCTGCAATAGTTAGACATCTCTAAAGTCTTCCAGAATACTGTTCTGACCTCAGAATTTAGAGCGTTCAGGAAAATTCCAAGATGTCACAGTCTATTAACCTGAAAGGCAGTAGATGCTAATTTAAGTTCATAACTAAATTCCATGGCTTTTGACATGATACATACTGTTTCCCTGGCTCACGTTCTTCATCCATAAAGTAAAAGAAGCCTATGTGATCTAATCCTGTAACGTAGATTAAACAGTTTGCAGAAAGCGCAAAGCCTTCTCCCTCATCTGTCTTAAAATACTATAGACTGGGTGGCTTAGGCAACAGATGTTCATTTCTCATAGCTCTGTAGGCAGAGAAATCTTGAGATCGGGTTGGGTTCTGTTGAGAGCTCCTTCCCAGCCTCCATCCGCCGCCTTTCTGCGGTCCTCACAAGACAGAGGTAGAGCTCTGGTCCGCCTCTTCTTCTAAATACACTAACCCCGTCATGGAGACCCCACCCTCAATACCTCATCTAAACCTGATTACCTTCCAGATGTCCCACCTCCTAATACCAGGGTAGGGTTTCAATATAGAAATTGGGGGGAGGTGGGTGGCAGCACAAATGATAACAGTCTTTGTTAATTTCAAGGCTGGTTATTAGCAACTGTACAAAGTAATGGTAAGAAAAAAGGAAGATCCCCTTTTTTCTACCTGTTACAGAGGATATTGCAAAGTCTGAAAATAAACCGTGTGTTCAGATTAGGCGATCCTGGCGGAGACCAGCTGGCTGACTGCTTAGTAGTGAGGGCTTATCTTAGTGAGTATCTTAGCCCAGAGGCACCATTCAGACCCTCCTGCTCAGAACTCTGGTTGACTGGCACACTGGCCGTGCTTCCACAGAGTCTGATGTGTTTACCAGGATGCGAATGTATTCTATATACCGCAGGGAAGCATTGTACATTTTTTGCAGGGGAGAGACATGGCCAGAATTAGAAAAATCCTTCCACAGCAGTATAGAGACTGCCTACAGGGAGAGGGATACGGGTGCGGGGGTGGCAGAGACTCTTTAATGGAAGAATTCCATCACAGAACATTGAGGAGTCAAAGCAAGTATAGATTCTAAGTACAGATTTCTAAAGTATGGGTTCAAAGATAGAATATATATTCTATAGTATATGTATAGAACAACGCTATTGATGTAAAAACTAATACACACATGTAAACATGCCTGCATACACAGAAAATTCTGGAAGTAACACCATCAAGAACGATTACATAGGTGAAGGGGAGCAGGAGAGTGATGGTGTGATGACAGGACCAGCTACGTATTTGGCAAGGCCTAGGCAAAACGAAAATGCAGGACCCTGTGTTCAAAATGATTAAGAGTTCCAAGACGGTAACAGCAGAGCAAGAAAGCAAGCCCAGGACCCTCCCACTGCATGGACTCTGGGCGGCCCCCTGGGTCACATGCCCATGAAGCCAGCTCAGGGAACAAAGCATGGTTGGCAAAGGGTGAAGAGATCTTTTTTAAAATATCTGTATGGTTTTCATTTTCATGGGTGAGCATTTTTTAATCTAAAAAATCTGTATTTTAAAAGGTTGTATAAGTCAGAACCAGGGCAGAGGCAGTGGAAATCCAAAGGAGAGAGAGTCGGAGCAAGAAATTTTATATTTACAACCATGGGACCTGATAACATACAGACAGGTTCACACACACACCACACAGCCCAGACATAATTGTGTAAATGTTCAGCATCATGACTATCATATAGCACTTACCTTAAGAAAACTCCATTTATGAATAGAATTAGGTTAACATAAAGTTTTCCCAATACATTTATTTCTCACTCTCCATGAGAAAAATATACAAAGTATCTTAAAACTCTTTCATTCCTAAGCAAAGACAATTCTCATCCTACCCAGAATTTTTCATAATCATGATTCTATTCCAAAGACAAATGTATGTTAAAGTGTACCAATTACAAAAATAGAAAAACAAGTAACATAAATATTTTGTTTTTTAAACATCATATGTACTCACATTTCTGGGGGAGGGGGAAGACTCATTTTCTACTATGTCAAACATTCAAAAGAAACATGTTACTTGAGCGACTTGGTACAGAAATGTCCTTCCCATCTGCATAAGGATAGCAGGGCTGTGGAGTGGTGGGAGCTCAGACCCGCGGGCTGTTCCCAAGTCTGTACGACAGCCCTGATCCCATCAGACAAGGTGATTTGTCTATGCACCGGCTCCAGATTAACTCTGCTGCCGCACATCAGAAAACTTGTAAAAACAAGACTTTTTGTAACTTTCTTGATGTTCCACTGCTCATTCACTCATCTAGCTTTTGTGGAGTTAAGAATCTATTCTAGGGGCATACAAACGCAATCCTCCAAAAAGCTCAATTTCTAGTGGAAGGAGATCCATGAGAGAAGCAACTGTTAGAACATAGTGTGTTGCAGACGTAGAGAGCAGCTCGAGGCTGGCACTCTGGGCTTCAAGGTTCTGGAAGGTTGTTAAAAGTGCCTACACAGGACTGTGGTGGTTGTTACAGGCGATCTACCAAACTCGTTACTTTGAAATGGCTTGGACTGGAAAAAATGAACTAGAAAAAAATAAGGATCTTCATGTTCCCCCTCCCCGAGCCCGCAAAGAATATGCAGTGAAAGTCCGATCCCTCCAGGGCTAGTACCTTCTTGGATTTCCTTTGGATTGAAGGGAACAGACGAGAAATGCAAGGCTATACTTGGAAATGCATGCCCACCTGTGGGGTCGGAACAAGGCACAAATCCGTTGAGACTTAAAAAGTGTTTTAAGTTTCCAGTAACTTTCACCAGCAACCACACTGTGCTTGGAGGCATGTGATCAGCACTGTTACTTTCTCCACTCACTGATTTGCCTTTGCTACAATGATGCGGACAGGAGGTTGGTCTCTGGAGGAAACATGGGAACAAGATTTCTCCTCAAAGCAGTCAGACCGTTAGAGACTCTTAATCTCAGGAAACAAACTGAGGGCTGGTGGAGTGGAGGGGGGTGGGAGGGCTGGGGTGGCCGGGGGATGGACCGTGGGGAGGGTATGTGCTACAGTGAGTGCTGTGAATTCTATAAGATGGATGAGTCACAGACCTATACCCCCGAAACAAATAATACATTATATGTTCATTTGAAAGAAAAGAGAGAGAAAGAAAAAAAAAAGATTTCTCCTCAAAGCATGTGTAGCCCATTTCAATGTCACACTTGTTTGTGTACGGAGGGCAGGTAAACATGGGGCTCCTTTTAAACCCTCAACTTATCCAAGTATGAGTGATTTCACAGCCATGTAGAGGTTTTGTGTTGTGTAACTGTGCTGAGTCAAAGC